TGGTTAGAGCCAGTGTCTAGCACCCTGATGATCCTAATATAGCCTATAAATATGATCCAAGCCCAACTGTCAAGTTGCCAAAATCTATAAACCCCTGGCTTTGCTGGCCTGTGTTCTCTGAAACCCTGTGTCCATCCTGCTTTTTCCAATCTGATGAGAACAGGCAGGTCTATGCTCTAATACAAGTCTAATACATTCCCTCATCTGAGAGCTCATTAATTCAGAAAATTTGATTCATGCTCTACCCTCTCTCTCCTCTCTCAGGAATATGGGAGGGCAACTAAAAAAATGGGACAGGGGTATCCTTGCCTTCTGTCAGGGACTAAATGTGGCCCAAAAATTCTTACAGTATAGTGAGAAGTTAAGAGCCCAAACTGGTGATGGGCCAGACCGAATATTAATTCCAACCTTGGGCAAGTCACTTCACCACTCTAAGTCTCAGTCTGCTCATCTGTAAAACGGGGTCAATGCTGATGTTGCTGGATAAAGATGAAATAATGACAGATGTCAAGCTCTCATGATCATGTCATAGTATGCACTCAGTTTGCTCTGGTGACAACTCTGAGGGGTGGCGTTCCATCTTGCTTAGCCAGCAAACCAGAGTTGAGGCATAGGGGAAAGGTTATCTTCCAGACTAAGAATTCCAACAGCTAAAGGTAAATCCCAGACAGATTCTTTGTCCCCAGACCTGCTAAGCTGAAAATGAAAGGGAGACTTTAGGTTCTCATTAACTGCCTACTGGCTTCTTCCAAGTTGAGGCTGAATAAATAATCACTTGACCATAATGTTTAGCCCTGGTGGCACAATGGCTAAGCGCCTGACTAGTAACTGAAAGGCTGGCAGTTCGAACCCATCCGGCAGCTCCATGGGAGAAAAACCTGGTGATCTGCTCCCATAAAGATTACAAGCCTAGTGGAAAGACGGCAGTTCTACCATGTAACACATGGGGTTGCCATGAGTCAAAAATCGACTCAGCGGCACCTAACAAGTCAAAAAACACACATGTTCAATATTCACGGCAATTTCTTATGTTTCCAGGAAAAATACAAGAGTGGCGAGGTTAGCAAAAAAAGCTAAAATTTTCTTACACGTTCTCACTTTCTTCTCAGATTCAGGAGAACAGGGAAAGGCCAGGCTCCCCTGGATGGAAACAGAGCCCCCCCCACCCCCTGCCATGGCCCTGGTTCCCTCCTGGTCACACCACAAACTGGCAGCTGTCTCCTCTTTAGGAAAAGGAGACAAAGCTGGGGAAAGGTGTTATGTTTGCAAGCTAGCTCCAACCCAGAACCCCAGGATTCCTGAAATTCAGTGTGAAGCTACCGTCTGTGCGCGATCACAGGCATTTTTCCTAAAAGGAGTTTCTCTATCACTGAGCTAAATCCCTAATTGGAACTTTTAAACTCAGTCTCTCAGGAGAAGAGGTTTTTCTTAAACGTTCTAAGAGTGTGACGGTGAGAATTTAACAAGCACCTGTTAAGTGTTGGTTCCACCAGCCCCGCTAATCACTACAGTCAATCTAAAGGCAGACAGAAAACGGGGCAATGGATAACAGAATCTCTCCACTGGACACATCTGGGGTTTACGCCCCCCTCTCAGGGAAGCCATGTTCTGTACAAAGCCAGCCTTGAACCCTCAAAAAGGCCGCACTGTGAACAGGCATCAAAAGCTTTGGACCCTCCTCACAAGATTGTAAGCAGCACTTGGAGCTGAAGTTAGCACTTTTCATACCTGTCAGTTACTTTCAGCTAAAGTAGGTTGGCAAGGTCCAAGCCCAGAGATGGATTTACAAGCTCACAGTGGAACTGTGACAGAAAAAGAAACCCTTACATTTGTAGGGGGATGGACAGTGTTTTAAGTACCGGCTCCAACATTCGACCCTCACGGCCACCCAGTGACAACCCCTCTCTGCCCCCCTCCCCTGGTCCCTCTGAGGCACTGATTTCTCTTCCCACAGCTCCCACGTCGGTGACCACAGAAACTTCCAGCTTCCTTCGTACATCTGCTCATTTTTATCTTTCATTTTTGTCCTCAGTAGGCATCTTAGTTATCTAGTGCTGCTATAACAGAAATACCACAAGTGGATGGCTGCTCACGGCTTAGAGGCTAGAAGTCCGAATTCAGGGTGCTGGGCTCGAGGCGAAGGCTTTCTCTCTCTGCCAGCTCTGGGGTGAGCTCCTTGTCTCTTCAGCTTCTGCTCCTGGTTCTTTGGAGATCTCCATGTGTCTTGGCGTCTATTTTGGCCCATCTCTCTCTCTGCTTGTTTAATCTCTTTGATATCTCAAAAGACTGACTCAAGATACACCCTACACTAACCCTGCCTCATTCCCAAATGGGATTATAACCACAGGCATACAGGTTAGGATTTATAACACATATTTCGGGGGGACATACTTCAATCTATAACATCCTACCCTTTGGATACCCCAAATTCATATCCTTGCCACATGTAAAACACATTCACCCCATCACATCATCCCAAAAGTCTTAAATCAACTCCAAGTCCGAAATCTCTTCTTCTGAAACATCTCAATCAAATATGGCTGAGACTTTAGGTGTAATCCATCCTGGGGCAAAATTCCTCTTCATCTGTGAACCTGTGAAATCTAGAAAACAAGTTACCTGTTTTCCAAAGTTCAATGGTAGAACAGGCACAAGGTAGACGTTTGCATTACAGACAGAAGAAACTGGAGAGAAAGAAGGGATAACAGGCACCAAGAAAGTAAAAAACCCAGCAGAACAATTTACATTAGTTCTCAAGGATTGAAAATAATCCTCTGTTCTCTGAGACCATCTGGGCAATGGTCCCGCCCTCCAGACTCTGGGTGTTGGCCATGCTCTCTGGATGCTGGGTGGAGGCCCCTCAAGCCTGGGCTTTACCTCTGCCTTCCAGGACCACTGGGATGGCAACTCTGCTCCCTTGGCTTTGGGTGGCCCCATTCTCCTAGTCCATCTGAGTGGCAACCCCACCCCCTCGGCCCCAGCAGGCCCCATTCTTCTGCCACCTGGGCATGGCCGCCCTGCTCCCTCAGCTTTGGGCAGCAGCCCCACCCCCCCGGCACACCTTAGCAGCAGCCCCACACTCCAGAACCATGCTGGCGAAGGTCCAATGATCCGACTTTCTAAAACCTAGGTGCAATCCAGGAGACCGTGGCCCCACACATTGAAACCGAGAGTGCCCTGCTTCCCACGCTCCTTCCAGCAGTTCTGCTGATCTCCACGCTGCTCCAGGGATGGTCCTTTTCTTTTCTTAGAAGACAACAGATGTAGCTCCTTTGGCCTGTTTCCTGCCTGTAGAATTCCAAGAGGCAGGCAGCGTTCTTTCCTTCTGTTCTTTCTGTGTCTCCTTCAGTTTAAGCTGATGGGTTTTCTGCTGTCGTAGTTGGTTAGATCCACCAGTCACAGGCTTAATCTCTTTAACAAAAAATTATGTAGCCATGTTGTTGGTGAACATTCTAGGACACGTGTCCAAACCTAGAATATTCTTTTTTCATTTTGCACAGTTCGTATTTAAGTCTGTCTCTTTCCTCTTGCATTTTACTATAAGCGGCAAAGAGAAACCACGGGTCCATTTAAGATCTTGCTTAGAAATCTCATCAGCCAGATATCCAAGTTCATCACTTAGAAGTTCTACCTTCCACCAAACATTTGAACATACCTTAGATAAGTTCTCTGCCACTGCATAGAAAGCATCACCCCTCCTCCACTGTCCAATAATATGTTCAACATTTTCTTTTAAAGCCTCACCAGAAACACATTTAACATCCACATTTCCAGCAACATTCTGTTGCTGGCACCATATGTATTTTCTAAGACAATAAAGACTTTCTCTACAGCTCTCTTCGCTTCCTTCTGAGCCCCCACCAAATTGCCTTTGATGTCCATAATACTACCAACAGTCTCCTCAAGACAATCCAGGTTTTACTACTAGGCACCTTAAAACTCTTCCAGCCTCTACTCATTACCCAATTCCAAAACTGCTTCCACATTTTAGGCATCTGTTAGAGCAGCACCCCACTCTTCTGGTACCAAATTCTGTCTTAGTTATCTAGTGCTGCTATAACAGAAATACCACAAGTGGATGGCTTTAATGAACAGAAACTTATTTTCTCACAGTTTAGGAGGCTAGAAGCCCAAATTCAGGGCACCAGGTCTAGGGGAAGGTTCTCTCTCTCTGCCAGCTCTGGAGGAAGGTCCTTGCCTCTTCAGCTTCTGCTTCCTTGGAGATCTCCATGTGTTCTGGCATCTAGCTTACCCCATGTCTCTATCTCAGCTCACTTGTTTAATCTCTCTTACATCTCAAAAGAGATAGACTCATCATATCCTACACGAATCCTGCCTCATTAACATAACAAAGACAACCCATTCCCAAATGGGATTATAACCACAGGCACAGAGGTTAGGATTTACAACACATATTTTGAGGGGGACATAATTCAATCCATAACAGTAGGGCTGCGGGCATTTCATTGCAGCTGTGCACTTTAACAATATGCAGCCCTAGGTCTTAAATCCCAGTCTGCTTCAGGGAATACGGTCCAAATTTGTGGTCAGTTGATGAGCATGTCCAATCAAATATAAGTTCTGCCAGAAGCCCCTCAAGAAGCAGGGCAGTGCTGAACAAAAGGTGTGTGAAGCATGTCTCCCTCTCTCCCCAGGAATCAGAGTTGCCCTGGGGCCATCCTTTCCCCGTGGGGACCTGGAGACCTTTCCTACTCACATTCTCTTTGCCAGCTTGCTGAGCACCCACTCACCCACCCTGGAGAGTGGGAAAGAGGGGAGGGCAGAGGATAGGTTAACACAGATGGCGACCACCAGGAGTCAGAAGCAGGAGATGGAAGGACGGACAGGACAGGGAAAGTGGGCGACCAGCTGAAGATTAGGGAAGGAGAATTATGGTGAGTGATAACTCATAGGACAGGAAGGAGGGTCACTACGGGGAATATGGCAAGTGGGTGATGCTGAGGGTTGCGGGGAGGGAGAGAGGAAGCGAGGAAACCGACCGAACAGGAGGGTGACTAGGGGAGGAGGGGGCGTTACCTCGTGGGACGGGGAGACGATCGCGATGGGGCAAAGCGGAGGAGGATGGGATGCAAAGGGGCGGGAGATGCCCGGCCCTGACCGCGAGCACAGCGAAGGCGGCGGCGCTCTGCCCTTATAGAGCGCTTCGCTGCAGGGCCCCTGGCCGGTCCGGGATGCAGGGCGCCGGCGTCCCGGAGCATCCTCGGCGCGGCGCTGCTGGATGGGGACGATGCGGGCCTGCAGCCGCTGGGCTCCGCCACCGCCTAGTCCGCCTGGTCCGGCGCCGCCGCCTTCCCGCCCCGGCCACCCCCGGAGCCGCTGCTTACCTGCGCCCGGGTGCGCGGGAGACGGAGGCTGATGCAGAGGCCGGGGCGACACGGACGGCCGGAGACGTGGACGCGCGGACGCCCCCTGCCCGTGTCGCGGAGCCACGGCCAGCTGCTGCCCGGCCCACGCTGCCGGAGTCCAGCTCGAACCAGTGCGCCCGCCGGTGCAGACGCCGCGCTGCGCTCCGCGGGAGGCGGGGACCACAACTCCCACAATGCCGCGCGCGGCGCCGCCGCGGGGCGGGGGCCGCCTACTGGGGAAGGGGGGGTGGGGAGCACGACACTCTTACCTAAGTTCTGCGTGCAGGGGATGACCCGAGGCTGGGGATGTGATGCCACCGCGGGTGGCTCGTGACGGAGGGTCGGTGGCCCTGTGCACCAAGACGCACTGATCGCCCAGTCACTGGGTGCGTTCAGGCGGGCTGCCGGGCGGTGGTGAATGCATCAAGTCCAGCATGCGTTACTTCCTTCGCTCAGTCTCTTCTCCCTTGGTGCCTTCCTTTCTTTGTCTCTCTTTCCCTGTCTCTGTCTCTATCTCCGTCTGAGTTTCTCCTACATTTCCTCCCTTTTATTCTCTTTCACTTTCCCTCTCTTCCTGCCTCCCTCACTTCTGCCTTCCGCAGCGCCCTTTCTTCCTTACTTATTCAGTCAACATTTACTTTTGAAGGCCTCCCAGGCACTTGGAATGAAATCTCAAATCAAACAAGATCCTTCGTCTCCTGGCAAACTCATTCATTCAATACAAAGGATTCTTGGGCGACCTCTCTGTGCCTGGCCCCGTGCTCTGCAGTGCCGGGCAGTTCTTAAGTGGTCCCTGCCCTCTGCCAGTCAGAGGCTCAACTAGAAGTAGACTACTAAGGCCAAATAATCACAGGTATAAATACACAATTATTCCCTGGGCAGAGTGCTGCTAAGAGAAAGACAGGATAGGAGGAAAGTGTGTAATGGGGATCTAATCAGGTGAGAGAGAGACCTTAGGGAGCCTCCCTGAGCTAAGGCCTGTGGGAGACAAACAGTGGCCGTATGTGTGTTGGGAAACCCAAAGGAAATATACACGGGTGGGTTCTAGGAGCACAGAGTGGGATGGGGTGTCCAGAATCCACCTGTTGGTGTCCCAGAACTCACCTGTCCCTGTCCCAGAACCACCTCTACGGTTGCCCAGAATCCACCTAATTACTGTCCCAGAATCCACCTCATCCCTGACCTACAACCCACTTCTACTGTGACCCAGAACCCACCTCATTCTTGCCCCAGAATCTACTTCTTCTATGTCCCAGAATCCATCTTGTGCCTGTCCCAGAACCCACCTCATTCTGCCCCTGAATCTACTTTTACTACTTCCCAGAATTCATCTCTTCTGTGGCCCAGAATCCACCTCATCCCCGTCCCAGGACCCACCTCTAGCATGTCTCGGAATCTGCTTTATCACTGTCCCAGAACCCACCTCTACCATAGCCCAGCATCCACATCTACTGTGGCCCAGAATCCACCTTGTCCCTGTTCCAGAATCCACCTCTGCCATGCCCTAGAATCCACCTCATTCCTGTCCTCTCTCCCTTTTTCTCAACTTCAAAGGAGGAAGAACACTTTTTCTCTTTATTTTCTGTTAAGGCAAACCAAAACACACACACTGAGAAACCATAAAATGTACTCAGATTTGCTCGAAGTGTGGGTAATGAACACAGACATCAGATTTAGAAAACTTAAATAGGATGTTTCTCTGCACTGTCAGCCTAAGAGTGGTTGGGCCTGGAGAAATTGAGGAGAGGGTGGGAGGGCATTTGGTCTGTCTCACATTCAGAAATGTCCTCAAATTTAGACTTGTCCAAACGTTTAAATACATTCAGTCATGGCACCATACTGACAGGATTGAAAAAGAAAGACATTCCTCCTACGGTTATAAATGTACGTTGCCTTCCTGGATCACCCTATCTGTAGTACATTATAAATTGTCTATAAATCCTGTAATTATCTTTGACCAGTGCAATTACATTGCACTGTGTTTGTGAGTGAGCTTGTTAAGATATTTATTTGTCCAATGGCAATATTACCACATAGACAATTTTGCTAACCCTGTTTACCATTTTTGCATCTTAATTTGCTAAGAGTCTCGAAAAATGGAAAGGGCGGTGCTTCTCCCGACCTCTGGGAGACCCCTGAGAGGTGAGCTTCCCTGGAAAAGGGTATGCAGGCCTTCCAAAGGGGGCTTTTGGGTGAAATCTCCAGATAAATCGTCACTGTATTAATGGAAGAGCTGAGCAGAAGGCCAAGTGCATCTAAATTGCCTGCCTTCAACTTGACTGCCACAGCATCCTCCTCCTCTCACTGTCTTCTCTCAGGCAGTCATTCCCGACCCACTCTGGAGCCACACACCCTATCATTATGCCATCTCATGCACTCGCGGGGGGCATCCAGCTCCGTCCTACAGATGGAGTCACCCTGGGCCCAGAGAGAAAACATGCCTTGCTCAATCAAGGTCACGGCAACTCAGTAGGGAACGTGTAGAACCTGGAGAAAATGCTGAATTGGCGCCGAAAAGAAACTGGAATTGACTGGTCACTTTGGAGAGCAATTTGATAGTATTTGTTAAATACTCATTTAACAAAAAAATGAGCACACGCTAACAGCCATATGGGAGACCTGAGTTCGATTCCCAGCCAGTGAACCTCAAGCACAGTCACTACTCTTTGTCAGTGGAGGCTTGCATGTTGCTATGATGCTAAACAGGTTTCAGAGGTGCTAACAGACTAAGACTAGGAAGAAAGGACTGGCAATCTACTACCAAAAAAACAGCCAGTGAAAATCCTATGGATCACAATGGTCTGATCCCATTGTGCACAGGGTCACCATGAGTGGGGGACTGCCACTCAGTGACAGCTAATGACAACAACAGCATGTCTACCCTAGAGAAATTCTAGGGTAGATAAAAGAATAGTTGTGTTTTCAAGTTATATAATGCCATTCAGCTATTAAAAAAGAGGAGCATGTCTATTAACAACACGGATGAATCTTCTAAACAGATAATGAAGTAAAAAGAGCAGAATTATACTTGTGGTATGATTTCAGCTACATCACACACACACACACACACACACACACACACACACATGCGTGCACACAAAACATTATTCTATCGTTTTTGTGGGTCTATAGCCCTGCTGGTGCAGTGGTTAAGAGCTCAGCCGCTAACAAAAAACGTCAGCAGTTTGAATTCACCAGGCACTCCTTGGAAACCCTATGGGGCAGTTCTACTCTGTCCTATAGGGCCTCTATGAGTTGGAATCAACTCGATGGCAATGAGTTTTTTAAAAAACATATATACATATATTGGGAGCTCTGGTGGCACAGTGACTAAGCACGCAACTGCTAACCGAAAGGTCAGTGGTTCAAACCCACTAGCGGCTCTGTGGCAGAAAGATGGCAATCTGTTTCTGTAAAAATTACAGTCTTGGAAAACCTGTGGGGCAGTTCTACTCTGTCCTACAGAGTTGCTATGAGTAGGAATCAACTTGACGTCAATGGGTTTAGTTTTGGTTCTATACATATATAGAAGGAGCCCTGGTGGCACAAGAGTTAAGCACTTGCTTGGCTGATAACAGAAAGGTTAGCGGTTTGAACCCACCCAGTGGCTCCGCATGAGAAAGACCTGGAGATCTGCTTCTGTAAAGACTACAGCCTAGGAAACCCTATGGGGCAATTCTACTCTGTTATATAGGGTCTCTGTGAGTTGGAATCGACTTGACAGCATAAAACAATAACATACATATACTGATATAAAAGCAGGGGGAAAGCACTACAAGAAAATACTAATACATTCTCCTTTTTAAAATGTAAGATAATACAAGGTTTGTAAATGCAAAGACTATCCCTCAAAGGAAGGATAACAATGATAACTTCAGGAGAGGCTAATAAAGAATGAGAATGGTGGACAAAGGGTACTCCATCATTTTTCTGTAATGTTTTAATAGAGTTTGATTTAATATTTTCAAAAGGATTTAAAAGCTCCTAGAACATAACAAAAAACAGACAAATGGGTACTAGGACTACCTCTCTCCCTTGTTCCTCAACTACCTGATTCCCCCTCCCTGATGCAACCGTTATAACACATTTCTCACGCATCCTTCCAGAGATGCTATGCATTTGCAAATATACTGAAGTATTTTAACTTTTAAAAAGGAAATATTAGTATATTATTTGTGATATGGATTTTTAAAATAAAGGAAAAATGTAAATTACATAATAAAATTGTTTTTCAAAAATGAAAAAATGCTCAACACCAGAAAATCTTTTTATAGAATTCATCACATTAACAAACTAAAGGACCACAAAATCATCTAAATAGATGCAGAGAAAGCATTTGACAAAAATCTAATATCCATTCATTGTTAAAACTCCTAGCAAACAAGGGAGATAAGAAAACTTTTTATAAACTTGTTAAAGGTATCTATTAAAAACCTACCAAACTACAAACTAACATCCCTCTTTAACATAGATACAAAAATCCTTAACAAAAAAAATTAGCAAAGGGTAACAAAGTGGTGCATATCCCAGGAATGCAACCTTTGAAAATTAGTTCACTTACTGACAGATTTTTTTTAAAGCCCTATGGTCATCCCAAATGTGCAGAAAAATCATTCAACAAAATTCAACACCCATTCATGATTAAAAACTCTCAGCAAACTAGGAATACAAAGGAACTATGTCATCCTGATAAAAGGCACTTATGAAAAATCTACAAATAACATCATACTAAATAATGAAAGACTGGCCTTTCCTCTAAGATTGGGAACAAGACAAGAACTTTCATTCTTGCCACTGCTATTCAACATTGTATTGGACCTTCTAACCTATGCAATAAGGCAAGAAAAATAAATAAAAGACATCTGGAAGAGTAATAGAAAGAAGTATTTATAGTAGCATCAAAACTGTAAAGAAGTCAGGAATAATTTTTTTAAATGGGCAAGATGAAAAAAATATTGAAGAGCACAGAAGAAAAATGTGAATAATGACAATATATGTGAAATTTACAGTAGTGAAGAGACAGTATCATAAAGATGTCAAATTTCTCCCAATAGTCTATAAAGTTGAAAGCAATTTCTATCAAAATCCCAATAAAGTTCTCAGTGTGAAAACATAAATTGATCATAAAATTTATGTGGAGGAGGAAAGGGCCAAGAAAGTGGTAGACAAAACTACCTAATTAAAAAAATGCATGAGAAAGCTGAACAATGAAAAAGATAGACCCAAAAAA